CGCAAAAAAAACAACTGAAACGTTAGTAAATGTTTCGTAAATTAAAGTAACAAAAAAATAAGAATTTCGAAGTTTACCTTTGAAATTCTTTCGTCCAGGAGCCGGAGAACAAAAATTCTACAAAAAAAAACCAACTGAAACGTTAGTAAGCGTTTCGCAAATTAAAAACAACAAAAAAAATGAAGAATTTTGAAGTTTTACCTTCAAAATTCTTTTCATGAATGATGATGACCTACAAAAAAAATGAAACGTTAGAAAACGTTTCGCTAAATAAAAAAAAACATAAAAGAATTTTGAAGGAATTTTACTTTCGAAATTCCATCCAGAAGCCGTAAACCTGCAAAAAGTAAAAATTGAAACGTTAGTCTACGTTTCGTTCAAATAAAAAATAAAAATAAAATAATTTTGAATTTCACCTTCGAAATTCCGTCCAATCCAGGTGGCTACCAGAAAAAGAAAAAGAAATCGAAACGTTAGTAATGTTTCGTTTAAATAAAATAAAAAAAAAATGTGTTTCGTAACGAAAAGTTCATTACGAAACTAACCATGTTGAAAATTCTGTCCAGGCTGGAACTAGAAAGCTGAAAATCTAAAAAAAAAGAATAAAGAACGTTAACGTTCTTTTACAAAAATAAAATAAAATAAAGAAATAAAAGAATTTCGAAAAAATACCTTCGAAATTCAGTCCAGAAGAGTTCGGGAGAGCTGGAAACCTAAAAAAAATCGAAACGTTAATAACGTTTCGTTAAAATAAACAAAAAAAGAATAAAAAATAAAAAATAAAATTGAAGTTTACCTTCGAAATTAAAGTCCTTCGGCATCCTGGACCTATAAAGAAGAGAAAAATGAACGTTAATAAACGTTCGTTAAAACAAAAGACTCCCTTTTTTTTCGAAAGTTATTTACCTTTGAAATCAAGTACGAGATACGTACCTTCAGTGTCTTGGACCTACAAAAATGAAAATGAACGTTAGTTAACGTTCATAAAAAAAAACTAATAAAAAAAATATATTTTTGAAGGATATAAAGGATATAACCTTTGAAATGAAGCTCTGGAAAGCCGTGGGCTTACAAAAAAGAAAGCTGAAACATTAGTAAACGTTTCGCTAAAATAAAAGAAAAAAAGTAAAATGAAATTTCGAAGCCTTACCTTTGAAATAGGAGACCGGAACCTGCCTTTCGGTTTCTTGTACGGTTGTATCTACGAAAAGTAAAAAATGAACGTTAGAATTAGTAACATTCATTAAATAAAATAATAAAAAAAAAATCAAAGATTTTACCTTCGATATGGAAGTTCTTTCGGCTTCCTTTACCTAAAAAAAAAAGAATAACGAACGTTAGTGAATGTTCATTTAAATAAAAAGAAAAAAAAATTTGAAGGTTAAATTTACCTTCGATATAGGAGCCCGGAACTCGTTTTCGGATTCCTTTACCTAAAAAAAAAAAGAAATACAAACGTTGTTAACGTTCGTCAATAAAGTTAAAAAAAATATATATATATTTTTTTTTGAAGGTTTTACCTTCGATATGGAAGTCCGGTTTGTCTTTCAGCTTCCTTTAACTAAAAAAAGATGAAATGTTAGTTAACGTTCGTCAATATAAATTAATTTTAAAAAAAATTAATTTTTTTTTTGAAGGTTTGTTTTACCTTTGATATAGGAGCCCAGAACTCAGTTTCGGCTTCCTTTATCTAAAAAAAAATAAGACGAAACGTTAGTTAACGTTCGTCAATAAAGTTAATAAAACAAAATATTTTTTTTTCGAAAGTTTTACCTTCAAAGTAAAGTCCGGAGCCATTTTTTGGCGTCAGAACCTATAAAATACAAAAATGAACGTAACTAACGTTCGTTAAAGTTAAAATATAAAAAAAAATATTTTGAAGATTTTTACCTTCGAAATAAAAGTCCAGAGCTGATCTTTAGCATCCAAGACCTAAAAATATGAAAACGAATATTAGTGACGTTTGTTAAATAAAATTAAAGATTCAGAAGTTAATATACCTCTGAATTTCAAAATCATCGATAGATTCCATCTAGGTTCCATCTGGAACCTATATAATATAAAAAAAAATTTTTTTTTTTTAAAAAAAATAAATTAAGATTCGGAGGTAAACATACCTCTGAATTCCAATATCTTTGATAGGTTCCATCCAGAACCTATATAATATATAAAAAAAATTATTTTTTTTTAAAAAAATAAATTAAGATTCGGAGGTAAGCATACCTCTGAATTCCAAACTAAATCATCGATAGGTTCCATCTGGAACCTATATAATATAAAAAAAAATTATTTTATTTTAAAAAAAATAAATTAAATTTCGGAGGTAAGCATACCTCCGAATTCCAACTAAAATCATCGATAGGTTCCATCCAAAACCTATATAATATAATAAAAAATTATTATTTTTTTTTTAAAATATATTAAAAATTCGGAAGTTAATATACCTCCAAATTCAAACTAAAATCATCGATAGGTTCCATCCAGAACCTATATAATATAAAAAAAAATTTTTTTTTTAAAAAAATAAATTAAGATTCGGAAGTTAATATACCTCCAAATTCCAATATCTTTGATAGGTTCTATCTGGAACCTATATAATATTAAAAAAATTAATTAAGATTCGGAAGTAAGCATACCTTCGAATTCCAATATCTTTGATAGGTTCTATCCAGAACCTATATAATATATAAAAAAAAATATTTTTTTTTAAAAAAAATAAATTAAATTTCAGAGGTAAGCATACCTCTGAATTCCAACTAAAATCATCGATAGGTTCCATCCAGAACCTATATAATATAAAAAAAAATTTTTTTTTTTTTTAAAAAATAAATTAAATTTCAGAGGTAAGCATACCTTTGAATTCCAAACTAAATCATCGATAGGTTCCATCTGGAACCTATATAATATAAAAAAAATTTTTTTTTCTCTAAAAATAATTAAAGTTTCAGAGGTGATATACCTCCAAATTAAAATTAACAATAAGCTCTATTATGTTCTTGACTTATAAACTGAACGTTAACTGACATTTATTAAAAAAAATTTTTTTTTTTCAAAGAAGAAAAAAAAGGAATACGACTCCTTTTTTAGTTCTGATTTCCCTGCATGTTGCAGATTATGTGCTGAATGTTGGACAAATTTGCCTTAAAGACTCCGAACCTTACAAATAAATTTTTTTTTTTAAAAAAAAAATTTCTCTGATAAGTTTCAAAGCTTAAAAAATAATAGAAATATTTTTTCTTTGGAATCTTTAACAGATTATTTCCTGAAAGGTGTTGTAGAAAAAATTATTTCACAAAGTTTTTTTATTTAGTAATAAGTATTGTAGAAAAAATTATTTTTTTAAAGTCTTGTAAAGTTTTTTTTTTTAAAGAGTATTGTAGAAAAAATCATTTAGGTATTAAATCAAGTTAGAGTTAATTAAAGTTTAAATATTAAATCAATGATAAAATTGCAGATCAAACTGATATTTTAATGAAAAAAAAGCAAAAATCTGCAAAATTGTAGACTTTCGCATAAATTTCACATAAAAAAAAGCAGAATCGCAGACTTTCCACAGAAATGCATACATAAAAAATCGGAAATATGCAAAATTGCAGATTATTGCATAACTTTGTAAAAAATAAAAAGTGAAAATCTGCAAAATCGCAGACTTCTGCATAAATTCACAAAAAAAATGCGGAGATCTGCTAATTTTACAGATCTCTGCAGTTCTGCATCTTAAAAAATTTCCCGATGAATTTTTACTGTTCTACCATTTATATCATGAATAGTGCTAATAAGAAATATATTTGCGCACAGAAGTTACACCATATATGCATGTATTTTCTCAACATGTATCTCAGTTTATGCAAGATTTAAAACAAAAGGGAATGGTATTGTGACACTTTTCAACATTAAGTATAGAAAAGAAAGATCATCAATAGGTAAAGTTTTATTAATGATTAATAATAAATAAAAAGGAATTATAAAATAATTTGTAAATGATATTTTAATTATTATTTAGGTACAATTATTTTTTGGAGGAACAACAATGGGTGGAGGAAAATCAAAGAGACCTGTAATTCATGATATTTTTTATTATGAAAACTGGCAATTGTATTATTAATACATGATACGCTGTTAACTATGTAAATTAAAACTATATCAAGTCGCCTAAGATTTTTATATAGTTAATATTTTAGAGTCTAAATTTGATAGATGAAATTTTAATAATAAATTACTATAAAAAACAGCACATTTTTTTTTTAGATGCACAGATCAAACAATTTCTTCTTTCTCAAATATTTTCACATTTATTAGCTTCTTCAAACTATTTTACAAAATTATTACAAAGCTATTTTTTACATTTACTGACAAATTATTTTTCAATTGGAATTTTAAGTAGTTTTTCTTTTTTGAGGTCTGATTTTTTTTAAGTATTTTATTATTAACACACAAAATGGCCTCATAACTTTGCTAATAAAGTCATGTTCTTAAAGTACAGAATAGTTAAAGCACACATCTAATTGGATGTGAAATATAATACAATGTGTACTTACAAATCATATAAACATCATTTCGATTAAAGGAACAAAACAGTCAAAACTCTGTTTGTTGTCAGTTAAAATTTCAAAGAAAATTTGGCAAGTTAAAGGAAGTGCGAAAACAAAAAAATGAGTCACTTCAGCCTCAGCTATTTGGGCTGGCTAAATTAAAAATATTTTTATATTTAAATTAACATTATTAAATTTAATTTATAATATTTGCATTGATAAATTCATTATTGTAACATTAAAATTTTCAACTCATTGTTATTATTATAAAAAATCCTTAATTAATAATTTTTATTATATAACTTGATATAGTTTTGATTTACATAGTTAACAGCGCACCCCAATGATATATACTCGAAAATCATTAGAAATTAAAACTTAATAATAATAATCTACATATATAAGTATATTTTAATTTTGTGTATATTTTTAATAAAATCAAATTTTACTGCGTAAAAAAAAAATATTTTTATATTTTATATTTTTTTATTTTTAATTATATATATATTTTTAATACAAAACAAGATGATTTTTTTATTTACTTATTACAAATAATTTGTACATATTTTTTAATTGTTTTTAATTCTATAAATTCTATTCTATCTCATAAAAAAAAAGAGGATCCTTCTAATTTATCAATTTAAATTTCTTGCTTGATTCTCGTCATGATTTTCTATATATTAAATTAATATTAAAACCTAAATAAATATAAAATATTTCATAAAATAAAATAAGATTTTTACGTTACCTTCCACAAAATCTCTTACATCTATATTAAATTCAAAATGCATTGAACCACACCGCAATGACATATCAAGTTCTTTATATACACGTTCTTTCCAGCAAAAAGTGACATGATATGTTTGCTGTGCATTCTGCATCAAAACATATGCACATGTCCCTGCCCGACACTTTTTACTGCCCCAATTTTTATTTTCCAAAAGAATACCCAATTGTTCGTATCCTTGACCACCCTCAAACTTACACGTATACTTTCTTTGAGCAGGGGAATATCGAAAGGTTGATTCATTATAGAACAAAATAATAAAAGTCCTTCGGAAAAAGGCTCCATTTTTAAGGTGGTTCACTTCTATGAAATTGCAAGCGTGCTTTAAATTGTATAATAAAAGAATTCTTAAACTGACAAATATCATATAATGAGGGAGAAGTTAAGCAGTGTGAGTGAAGTATTATTTTACTGTTTGGGTGAGCATTACTTTCATGAATAGAAAGTGAATTCTTAGATGAAAAAGTTTTGAGGAAATTAGCAGGACAAAGTGAACAAGTGAACGGCATTATGAACACAACATGTAATGAAATAAGTAAACGCGTAAAAAATTCATTTTTCGCGCACTTTTATTTCAATTACAAAATTTCTAATTTGAGTAATTTCAACTACCAATCATAATACATAATGTGATAAAACATTTATGCATATTATTTGTTACAGGGGTGATCCTGTTAAGCCTGATCCGCCCATATTTATTCATTCGAAAAATTAATCTATCAAGATAGACAGATCAATAGACAAAGGAAGGATAAATTTATGCGTGAGTTGCATCACATCTGGCCAATTAAAAAAATTTCACATGATACAGATCATTACCATTGGGACGAGCTGTCTCAAAGAAAATATACATGTTAAAAAGATATAGTTGATAAAGCCCAAACTCTGTTAAACTAGTACCATTATATAAGCATTATCGATTTTGTGGAACAAGAAGCATAAAGTCTATATAATATATTATTTTTGATTCAAAATGAAAGTTAAGATAATTTGCTAAATAACATCATCAAACCAAACTTTTTGATAATGATGCCCTTTTTATCTGCCTTAATTGCAGTATCTTTATTTTGTATCGCAAGACCATGGCAAAACAATTGAGGGTGGTGGAGTCTCTGTGCCCATGGCAATTAGTTCTTGCTTAAAATCCGTTGAATTTTGAACTTGTGAGTTCACTATGTCCACGCAGTCTACAATCATTTTCTGTATGTAAAGGTAAGTAAGTGAAACAGAATACTTCGTGATGAGAAATGAAGACAACGGATTTACCTTCAGCATCCACACACTTGTCAACACCCTGATGAGATCCTGTATTTTTTCGACTGCAACTGGCACCTCAAGGAGCTTTTCTCGTTTTAATATTGACACGTACCCCTTAGGACTACTCAGATGTAAAACTTGTGTTTTAAGACCTATAATTCAAATTAACTTAGTTTATTAATGCTATAATGCAAAACTCCTTATTTTACTTACCCAAGTGAAGCATGCCAGCGACTCTCAGTTCCCTCACTTTCGTCTCTTCGAAATTGACTTGTTTACTCAATATATCGTGCATTGCTTTACTCAGTTTATATCCGTCAGTCAATAATTTAGTTTCGTCAAATTTCTTAGCTACTTCAATCACTCCATATTCAACATCATTGACATACGCTCTGAATATTCCATCCATACGAGACCCCATCTTCTTACGTTTTATATTCTTGCGACGTGTACGTGCCCTTTTTCGATTTTTTCTTGCGGATACTGCCTCGCTTGAAGACTCCTTTCTATGAGACCAGTAAGTAGAAATTCAAAAATATACAGAAATGATCATAGTAAGAATTTACCTGACAGTCTCTATTCCAATTAAATTTCGGAGACCATGATCGATTATTAGCGACCATACATTAATGTCGTGCCAAGATTCAAGATGTGACCTATGTAGCGTTCCATTGGGATCTTCGTAATCTGTAAGGCTTTTTTTTGAGATGTATGTGTTATTAAAGCTCTTGCAACATCACAAATAAGAAACATACATGTACTTACTATTTTCTCATTACTATATCTACCCATTCTGCATCATAGTGTTTCTCTCGGTCATATGGCTCATCCAAGTTTCGGTAAGATGTTGTTTCTAAGACGTTTCTTAGCTCGCCCGTTGTTTTGACCTGATGTCAGCAATATCATAAATAAATTAGACAAATAAAAACAAAATGATTACATTTTCAACTTACATCAAATCGTGGCAACATTGAATTAACAAAGGCTTCGTCAACCTTTGGTAACTTTCTGATTTCACTGCGTATTTCCCTCCATTCTTCATCTGTAAATAGGTCTTCTGCCTCCTGATCATCCAAATCTATGATCCACGAATGTAAGAGTGATTCAGCTGATAATTCTTTACAATACTCGAAGATAACATCCTCAACACATGTCCCAGATGATAGAATCCACTTTTGAGTCTTTTTCATTTTTGCGTAGGATTCATCAAAACACTTGAACTGCGAGGATGTCAGCAATGGGGGAGGATTTTGATCCTCATCATCACTTGTAATATGAATAGAAGTAAAGCTATGAGCCCAAGAAAAAAAAAAATCGAAGAAAAAGAATTATTATATGATACCTTGGTACGTAATCTAAATCTTCCTCCTCCTCAGATAGCGTAGAATCCGAGTCATCATACTCCTCAAATATAGAAATGGAGTCTTGTGCTTCAGACTCTGTCTAAAAATAATCTTATCAATTAGTAATTATTCAGTCTTTTGAGTGCTATGAATAGTCAGAACATCGTGTTATCCAAACAATTTGTTTCAATATACCATACCTTGTCTTTCTCGTTGCCCGCTTCGCTTGAACCTCGTTTATTGCTTGACTTCCGCCGTTTCTTGGTTGATTTTTGTTCAGGGTTGCCTTGAAAGAAATTATCTATTTCATCATTCAAATTCTACAGAAATATAAGGTCAGTATAGTGCAATGGAATAAAATAATAAGTGATAAAGAGAAGGAATTAAGGAGTAGCTGGTACTATTTCTTTTGTTTATGATAGTATATTCGGTTTCAGGGTATATTCATTTATTGACGAGAATACGCATTTTGGATCATTACCTTTTTTGTGGATAATATGTTGTCCACCTCTGTGGCATTTGTGATTGTTGAACTACTAAATTGACGATGATGTCTTTCGGCATCAACAACTTGGTTCTTTAGCTATAGGAGTGGAATGGTGTCAGTCAATAGAAGGAAGATGCTATCACAAGTGAATAAAAAAATTTTAAGACCTGAATACAGCGCATGCCCGTTTCAAAAGAAGCCTGGGCGTTCTCGATTTCAACATTTAACCAGAAATTCTCAAGTTGTCCCTTACGCAACTTCAATGACTACAAAAAAAAAACCGAAATTTCAATATCGGATTATAACAAAATATATAAGCGAATGCCCAACTTACCATGGCTTCTTCTTTCCTCCTTTTGGCATAAGTTCTAATCTCATTGTCGGAAGCATTAGACAAAATTCCCAAGGCGCTCAAGTAATGACTTCATGCCAAATTTTCTTCTGTTTTTTGGTATTTGAAATTTCTAGCAAAGGTGAAGAAATTAATATCGCGAAGGTTCTTTTGAACATAATCAAGGACGGACGTAGACATTAGACAAATTTTGTATCGAATATATTACGAAAGTGAGAAATGAAAAAAAAATAACGCGTAAAATTATTGGCACGTAATGAGGAACACGTACAGATTCCTTATCTTACAGGGGACACCTGGCGGCCCGAGTTTAGGAGTTATGCACGTGCACGTGCGTTAATTCCGGCCAGTTCCGTACGTGTTAATATCGTACGCCCCCAGTGTACGTTAAGGAACCCAATAAATGATAATCAACTGATAATCAGCTGATAGAACGTTACCTTCCTTGGAGCACACGAAGACAGTGGATTCTGTCTTTGCATGGCCAGCGATACTCCTGATAACTTCGATTTGATGGCTGTATTGTCAAGGACAGTGGATTCTGAACCATTGGTCATGCCGTGCGAGGAGCAATGTTCTTTGAATACTGATAATACTTCCTTGGAGCACACGAAGACAGTGGATTCTGTCTTTGCATGGCCAGCGATACTCCTTATAACTTCGATTTGATGGCTGTATTGTCAAGGACAGTGGATTCTGAACCATTGGTCATGCCGTGCGAGGAGCAATGTTCTTTGAATACTGATAATACTTCCTTGGAGCACACGAAGACAGTGGATTCTGTCTTTGCATGGCCAGCGATACTCCTTATGACTTCGGTTTGATGGCTGTATTGTCAAGGACAGTGGATTCTGAACCATTGGTCATGCCGTGCAAGGAGTATTAGAAGTTTTATTGAGTAATGTTAACGATTTTTTGCAAAGAAAATGCCCGAAGTGGACGAAATTTTATTAATGATTTTCAGATAAATAGCGAATCAGAAATGCTAGAGAAACGAATGAAATGTATGATGCTATCAAAGAGGGAGTACGCGGATCCTAGGCCATTTAATGCGAGTCCCAGTATCAAGTCATTTCTTTGCTCTCCCAAGCTTTCGAAAAATATTTCTAACTAACTTATTTCTATCACTAACTAAAAGATTCATATCCCTATTCCCTATACCCTTTTACTACACTAGATTTCCGAAATAAATTATCCTACCCATATCTATGAAATTTTTGTCTATCTATATCACTACCATCCACCAGGCTATGAAAAAGATTATTCCCAATGAGAGAACTTCCCAGAGATTAATTAATTTTGAACCTACAGCATAAATTCGGGGGATTAACAACTGAGGTAAAAAAATAAGAAATGCAATATTTCCAATTAATACTTACCATGATTTATTTTCACAACATTCCATTCCTAGAAATTTATTGAATTTTTCTGCGTTATCGCCGGTACGATACTGCGCAAAGTTTCAAGAATTCGGCACGTGAAGATGCTTATGCCGGAAAAATTATTTGATATACTATAGCACCTGAAGTTTTTATTTAAAAAAGCAGACTTTTAAATCTGATATTTATAGTATTGCAATGCTCATGTGGGAAATTTCTTCTGGACAACCACCATTTATTAATTATGAACATAATTATTATCTTGCTATGAATATTGTTAATGGTTTAGGACCAAAAATTGTATCAGGAACTCCTTTAGAATATAAAAAGATGATAGTCAAAGATTTCTCGGCGAAGATCAAAATGACGATATATAACAAGAATAGTAATGTCCGGTTTGTTTTGGAACATCTATAGAGGCGGGAAAATCGATTAATGTCATAATGACATGTTCTAAGAATCTGGCCGAACAATATAAACCAACTTACTTTATTATTACTTTGCGGAAAATACGAGTTTGATATTGTTGGTGCAAATAATGGTAAGTTAGATTGGTTTGATTAGTTTTGTTTGATTTTTATTTACTTGCATGAGGCAGATAAAAGGATTCACTAGCCGGAACATCATCTTTTTATACAATTTGCAGGATCAATCTTGGAATACACTTGGAAAATCTGATCAATAGCATCCCCTTAATTTAACAATAAAGAATTTAACGCTATCCATATATAAGGATCATCAAGGGGCTATACATATTTTTGAGAATGTGCGAGAAAGTATGAGAATAAATTATTACTTGTTCCCGTGATACTGTAACGATTACTATAATATTACTGCGCATTGATTTATCAAGCTATGATCAAAAAATAAAAGCACACTTTGCTTCACACAATTCCACAACCCACTTCATGCAAAAAAAACATATAAAATGTCTGGTAAATTTGCGCCATTGCTTTATTGATCAAGTTATTATCTGTACAGATGTGAGTGATGATCGCATTCCTCACAAACCTTACATCTATGCTCCACCCCCTAAATATATGCCATTTTTCAAAGTAGTTCTACCTTAGCAAAGTGCCTTCCAGCTCTTTATAAACTGTACTATTCTGATTGTTTGTTAAGAAATTATATATAAGTAAATTTCATTTATCTTGGAATTTGCACAGTCCTATTTTTCGGTAGTGCATTTATCATGGCAATGAGAAGATTGCCCATTTTTTCGGGTGATTGATTTCACATGATCTATTCATCCTATGCTATAAATGCGGACTTAAGTTTATTACTTGAAGTGTTGCAGGTAAAATAATATTCCAACTTATCTTGGGATTACAACTTTGCTAATTCAGGGTAACTGATCCCTATTTTCATGGTACCATGAGCCATGTAATCCATAATTTCCATGTTTTCCATTGCAAATAGGACATGGTGAACTTCACAGCTGAAGTGATGCAAATTATAATTATCAATTCCCCTAAAACTATTTTGGAATTTCAGGTATGTAAAATGCTCTAACATGGATTTGATAATTAGCTCTGGTTTTGCTTCAAAAGTGATAGGCTTGGAATTAGAGGGTTGAAGTTTTTCTGATATACTTGTTACAGCTTCTAATAAGGAAAGTTACATATATCATGTAATTATAGATTACTATATAACTGACCCCTCCCCCTCTTAGTAAGATTATGATTCACATGATCATATAATAATAGTTATAATAACTGTTGTACAATTATCAAATAATATTTATTATCAGTAAAACTTTTTCCCATCAACCAATATTCTTTTTTTCTTCTATTTAATATATGCCTTTTAAATTATAAAATAACTGTTTTTACCAATATAATGAATAGAATTTTTTATGTATTTATTAATAAATCAGATCAAATTAAAAAATTATATTATTTTTTTGCAACTGTGCATATGTAATTCTTTAATATGACTTAATATTTAATATGTGCAAAAATGATCTGATCACATTTTAAAATCTCCTCATTAATTTCTTTATTTAAAAATTTTTTGATATGCAGACTTTTCTAACTACACCAAAATATAACAAGTTTTATATTTATAAAACTTTCATAAATCAACACCAGAAATTTTGCAATACTTTTGAATACTATCATATTATCATATGCAGTATTTTGAAAAAAATCTGATCTGAAATGGATCAGATCAAATCAGATTTTTTATGATCTGTAATCTGATCTAAATCAAAAAAATTTGATCTGTTTCAGATTGAATCAGGTCAGATTAGTTATTTATTCAAATCAGATTAGATCAAATCAAATTTAAACAAATTTAAATCAGATCCAGATCAGATCTAAATTTTAAAAATTAAAAAATGTTTCATGCAATATTTTTTATTAAGACAATTAAAAATCATTGTGAATAGTTTTTTTCATTTAAATTGAAATAAAAAATATTTTGCAACATTTTTTATTAAATAAATCTTTAAAAAAATATTGTGAAACATTTTTGATTCAAATTGAATTCAGATCAAATTAGTTTTATTTAAATTGGATTCAGTCCAAATCAAATCAAATTCATTTTGAATTCAAATCGGATCAGATCTTTGATTCGAATTCAGATTAGATTAAATCTAATTTTTTTGATCCAAATTCGAATTCATCTCAAATCTGATCTAATTCGATCTATTCAGAACACTAGTAATCCGATCCTATACCTGAAAAGCCATCCGGATTCAATCCGGATTGCCTCAGCTGAATCCGGATGATAATCCGCATCCGAAAATTTAGCGGATTATCCGAACTTTAACAGATCCATCCTTAATTTAGGATCCATCCGGATCTATCCTAGTCTATTTATAGAAAATTTATTTATAATTAAAAATATTTATTCAAATTTCAAATTTCGAAATTCAAAGTCAAAAATAAAAATGTACAAACACACAATTTAAACAAAAAAAGCTTTATGCAATATAATTTTATTATGTAAAATGATAAAAGCATTAAAAGAAAATAAAATGTATTATTCATTATGAGGTTTGCACCATTTCTTCAACTTCGTCCCATTCTTTTGCAAAAACTTGCATAGAATTAAGATTTCTCTTCAAGAAAAGCATTTTACCAGCCAAATCTGTATCCAACCGTGTTCTTTTTACTGTAATTAGATTATTAGCATGTGAAAATAATCTTTCGCTTGAGACAGAAGTTGCTGGTATTCCAAGGTATTTACGAGCAATTTGAGATAATTTTGGAAAAATTTGTGCACGCGCCCGCCACCAATCTAATGGATTTTCTTTTTCAAGTGCAGCTGGCATGTTTAAATAATTATTTAGTTCATCACTATTATTATTACCCGAATTCAATCGACCAACTTTTTTAATTTTCATTTGGCGGCGTTGACGGTATTCTTTATATGAACGCAATGAAGATTCTGTATCTTGAGTAGGTGTAATTGAATCATTAGGGAATTCTATTACTTGTGGTGATTTATTTGGAAAATTATTTGAAAATTCATCCCGGAGCTTTTGAATAATTCTGTTTTTATCATCTTCCAACTCCACAAAATCCAATTCCTTATAGCGAGGGTCCAATAAAGATGCAATTAAGCCAGCATCATTTGGTTTATCCCAATAAAAAATTAATGAGCTGTAAATATTTTCCTTTACATTTTCCAAAACTCCTTCTGTATTTAATGGATCTTTAATAGAAATTCTTTTATTTGTAATATTACTTATAACTTCTTCATCTTCAACCTCAATAGGTGTTACTTCAATACCTTAAGATTCAAATACAGTATTCTCATCATGATGAGTAACATTATTTGATGGCAAGCTGCAAGTCATATTAAAAATAAGCTCTTTGATAATTGATATCATATTGCTAAATGTTACGTAAGTTCCTCCTGAAAAATCTTTTGTTGTTCTCTCAAATGGTGTTAAAAGATCAACTAATTGGTCCAACAATTCCCATTCTTCCTCAGATAACATGATCTTTCTTAGTTTATTTCCATCCTTTTTATCATCTCTATTGGTACTAGTACACAAATCAGCTTGGAGTTGAATTATTGCGTCTTTGAGATAAAAAAGTCGATCCCAAGCATAGTAAGATGAATTCCATCGGGTAGAAACATCTTGAATACAATGCAAAATATCTTTATAACCTAATTTGCATTGTGTTGCTTCTAATCTTTCTATCTGTCTTTGGGTTGAAAAAAAATGGACTATTCGTTTTACAAGTGCAATAAGAATTTCTGCAGCTGCCAATCCTTTCCCAATTGCTAACTGAAGAGTATGTGCCGCACAAGGAAGTCTTTGAATACTTTCACATTTATTTTTCTGAATTAGAAATGGAAATGCTGCTTTCATATTTGAACCATTATCAGTAATGATAGTTGTTACCCATCCTTCAAGATTCCAACTCGTAATACATTGGTAAAGTAATTCAGCAATATTCTTAGCGGTATGGGGAGAAGGAGCATACATCATCTCTAACATTACATCTCTAATTTTAAAATCTGTTGTAATCCATGTTGCAGTAATACCTAGATATCCATGTTTAGCCCTACTTGACCAAAGATCAGTGGTAAGAGATACTGATGTAGCCGTTTCATTTAGAAGGTTCTTTAAGTTTTCACGATTATAATTATAACTTTTAGATATCATTGTTTTGACTTTTTGCTCTCCGGGTATAATGAAGGAAGGATCAAAATTGGAAATTTTTTCTTTATATGCTGGATTTGTAACTGTAGAAATAGGTTGATCGGTAATTAACATCCATTTAAGCATAGATTCTTCTCGTTGTTTTTGGATGTGTTTTGGATGGGAGCGATGAGATTTGGCAAAATCTGTAATCTTTGTATTTCGTAACTAAAAAAATCCATTAATTTTTAATTTAATAAAATAATAATTTCAAGTTTAAATTTTGAAACATACTTTTTTCAATTTTTTGGAAGTATTTTCACTTTCTTCATCCTCGTTAACAATATGATGAATATCACGTAAGTGTGCAATGAGATTTCCCGTTGAAGATCCAGCATTTCTATACGCTTGACCACATCTACTGCCGTTATCATCTAAGATTTTACAAACTTGAACTTCCTCACCCTTTGAATTGAGACACTTTTCAAAATATTGTCTTGTAAATGAAGATTTTTTTCTTTTACTTGCAGAATTTGCATTTAATTCTTTATTTATTTCTTTAAAAAATTTATAAATGTAATAATACAATTTATTAATATTTATAAAATAAATAAATTGAACAACTATTTAATACACCTTTTCCCGTTGAATCTATTCTATTTATTGCTTCAATAAATGTAAATTCCTGGGATTCAGTCTCATTATCAATCTCTTGATTCTCTTCTTGCGACATTGTTAGGATTTAAGAAAAAAAGATGTAACGTCCAATATTGATAATCAATTTGATGATCATACATTTTTATATAATTTAATATGGATTACAATCCGTTAATCCGGATGATCTTCCATCTGTCATCCGTTTTATAACGGATCGGATTCGTACTAAAATTTCAGATTAGGATATCCGAGCTGGATCCGTAAAATAGGATCTATCCGGATTTATCGGATTTAGGATCGGATCACTACAGAACACTAGTAAGGTATAAGGGAACATATGGATTTATTCTTGAATTCCAAAAAATATTAAAAAACATTAAAAAGCAAATTACAGTCAATCCTTGTTATAACGAACTCTAGGGTTCAGAGTCCAGACCTCAACTTCGCTATAAGACTATAGTAAATATAGTGAAGATTTTAAGAGATTTAATTGGTTAATTCATTATAGCAAAGGGAAATTTATTATAGTTGTCTGAAAAATTCACTATATCAAAGGTTCGCTATATCAAGGTTTAACTATATTTCAAAATCTGATGATCTATTTGATGATGAAAATACTTTTGACAATAAA